TTAAACCAAATTCTATTCACCTGATTCAATCAATAAGATGCATTTAAATTACATGTATATATGATATATGCTTATATTTGTAGAATTTATGCATCCTACAAATATAATAAAGAAGAATATATAATTGTATATTAGGAACAAATCAATCTTCTTGATATAGAAACTCATGTTTTGATAAGGTGCATATAAAATTGTTATAATGATCATATGACGTAAATTTTAATTCAGAAAAGAGACAGCAATTAAGTTATGAGGTGGAGAACATGGAGAGAATAAAAATCAAATGTAAAATATACGTACGTAACGAGTTTACTTCAAACCCCATGCAATTCTCATGCACGCAAACTCTCCTATATAAACCCTCCCAAGTTCATCATTTTGTCATCATCAAATTAACCATCAATACAAAAGCAAAAACAACTAAGAACCAAAGTACCAATATACACAATGCTCTCAACCATGGCAATTCCAAAAGCTTACTGCTCTTTAGCCATTCTTGTCATTCTATTTGCGGTTTCAAGTAGCCAAAATGTTTGCAACCCGAGCTGCAAGGCTACAGAACCTTTCAATTGCGACAATGCGCTTACATTCAACCGAAGTGGTTTCCCAAAAAACTTCACTTTTGGTGCGGCTACTTCCGCGTATCAGGTATTTGATGACCCTCAAGTGTCAATTAATCGTATAGGTCTATTTTTAATATTGAGAACTTCATTAATTATGTATTAAATCGCTTTAATATCGACCTTGTATCTGTTCTACGTACCAGATTGAAGGTGCTGCGCATAGAGCATTTAACGGATGGGACTATTTCACTCATAGATATCCAGGTCACTATAGTCATAGAACACACCTATCAATGGCTATGTGTAAAGACTATTCATGCTCATAATTTGATTGGTCGTGTAACAGAAAAAGTTCCAGATCGCAGTTCGGCAGACCTTGCTTGCGATTCGTATGAACTTTATAAGGTCTGTGAGATTAATAGATGATTAATTCATAATTTACGGTTTGGAAATGTAATTTAACGAGAATTTTTTCATATAATGAATTTGTACAGGATGATGTTCAATTACTGAAAAGACTAAACGTCCAAGCATACCGATTCTCAATAGCATGGTCAAGGGTCTTACCAAGTAAATTTAAAAACCACAATATATGCATCCTCACATTAATACAAAGATTAGCAAAATAGTTACATTTTATTATTAAGCTGATTTTATAATTATCATAGAGGGAAGGTTGATTGGAGGAATAGACGAGAACGGAATCACATACTACAACAATCTCATCAATGAATTAAAAGCAAATGGTAAATATTTAATACAAAGTTTAATCATATATAGATGCAAATTTACTTGTCTTATCATCTTGTC